CTCCCGGCGTTGCATAAGCGGCAGCAGCGGCTGCAGCCTCAAGGAGAGAGGAAAAGTGAGCAGGAACCCGGGCCCCGAAGCCACACCTTGGGATGGGATCCACTCCCAGAGTCCCGTGGCTCTGGAGCAGGGCAGTCCTGTGTCACCCTAAACGAGGTGACACAACTCCCCGCAGCACACTGACCCCATCCCGTCAACATCCCTGTGGATAGACTGAAATTCCTGAAACCAGCAGGAATTCAACCCTCAACAGCCCTAAAAAGGCTGCCAGGACCCCCAAGGGCAGCGAGCATCCTGCACACCAGCCCTGTGGCATCCAATGCTTTCCTGCTGCTCCTTCCAGGCCTGGAAATGGGGTTAGTCCCAGGGAAAAGCATTTTTGAAAGCCTTTTAACCAGGCAGGTGCTGGGGAAGCATCTTGCAGGGCCTGGGCTCCCAGGGAGCCTCTGTGGAGCAGGACACCCACGAGTGAGCGTCAGCCCTCGGCTCCCAGTCCTGCTCTCAAGGGGAACAAGCACTGCCTTCAAACCAGCACCTCATCAGCACCCAGGGGTGCCTTTGGCCAACCCCCTGCTAGTTTGGCACAGGGCAGCTCACGGTAAAACACATTGTTCATGCCCTAAAACACGTTGTTCATGCCCTAAAACACGTTATTGATGCCCTAAAACACGTTGTTCATGCCCTAAAATGTTGTTCATGCCCTAAAATACGTTGTTCATGCCCTAAAACACATTGTTCATGCCCTAAAATATGTTGTCCATTCCCTAAAACATATTGTCCATGCCCTAAAACACGTTGTTCATGACTAAAACACGTTGTTCATGACTAAAACACGTTGTTCATGCCCCAAAACACGTTAATGCTCCAAAACACATTGTTCATGCCCCAAAACACATTGTTCATGCCTAAAACACATTGTCCATGCCCTAAAACATGTTGTTCACGCTCCAAAACACGTTGTTCATGCCCCAAAACGTTGTTCATGCCCTAAAACACGTTGTTCATGCCACAAAACACGTTGTTCATGCCTAAAACACGTTGTTCATGCTCTAAAACACATTGTTCATGCCCTAAAACACGTTGTTCATGCCTAAAACATGTTGTTCATGCCTAAAACACGTTGTTCATGCCTAAAACACGCTGTTCATGCCCTAAAACACATTGTTCATGCCTAAAACACGTTGTTCATGCCCCAAAACACATTGTTCATGCCTAAAACACGTTGTTCATGCCCTAAAACACGTTGTTCATGACTAAAACACATTGTTCATGCCTAAAACACGTTGTTCATGCCCTAAAACACATTGTTCATGCCTAAAACATGTTGTTCATGCCCTAAAACACGTTGTTCATACCCTAAAACACGCTGTTCATGCCCCAAAACACATTGTTCATGCCCTAAAACACGTTGTTCATGCCCCAAAAGATGTTGTTCATGCCCCAAAACACGTTGTTCATGCCCCAACCGTGGTGCTTTGGATCTGGCTCAACTCCATGGCTCTCAAGGAGTATGTGGCCAGAGAGGATTTTAAGAACCTGCAATGCCAACCAAGTAATCTTTCCCAAGGGATTTATGCCCTTTCCAGGATTCCTTTCCAGCATTCCTAGGTGCTGTGTCTGATGCACTGGTGCTGATGTTTTGACTTCATTTCTTTCCTACCCCACAACCCAACATGCTCCTAGTTTTCCTGCCTAGTGCAAAGAAAGGATTAAAAACCACAACAAAAAGCTAAGAAATCTTCTAATTTAATGAGCAGAGAAGCCCGCAGACCTCTAGCTTGGCTTTTAAAGTATGGCAATATCATATCTGTGTCTTGAGGAGATTTAATTATTTTAACAATTAAAGGGGAGCCCCCCAAGAGGCCGCACGTGGAGGGCACAAGCACCTGCAGGACTCGTGTGCATCCCAGCCTAGCACAAACTTCCCGTGCCAAAGGTAACTTTACAGGTGGCACAGAAAGAAAACCAGAAAAGGTCGTTGCACAAGAGGGGGCTGATTCTCCTGATTTAAATACAGCCCCACAAACCCACATTGCAAAGCCACAGGCGCACCCAGAGCTGAAGCAAACACTCACCAGTGACCCTCGGGCAATGATGCTGCTTCCTTGCAGGCAAGGGGAAAATTTTCCATCCTCCTTCTTTATATAGGGAATGACTCTATGGGGACAGCAGCCACCCCAAAGGCACAACACTGGCACAACCAGCTCACTGGCAGGGTCAGATACTCCAGCTATGCACCCATCCCTCCTCTGAGACACCCCCAAACCTCAGCCTCAGCTCTTATATTGCCTTCAGGATAACAAATCCCAAAATCTCCGTGCAGCTGCCCTGGGAGGGAAAACAAGACAAAAGGACACAAACCCCAGCTGCTCAGGGAGCTCCAAGGTGACTGGAAAGCATTGTTGAGGTGATTGTCAGCAGGGGCAGCCCCAGCCCCCCCAGTCCCTGCTGTGCTGGGGTGAAGCAGAGCTGCGGGAGGCAGCGAGGGCGATGTGTGAAATCGGGGGGCGGCCGGCAGCTATTTCTGCTCCGTGTCAGCACCCACTGACAGCACCACCCTGGGAACACAGCAAAGCTCCAGGAGTCTTTTTTCCAAGTGAAATTCACCTGTACATAACTGTACAACCCCCAGCACTGGCAGGTGTGGAGCTCGCTGCTTCTAGGGGCAAAGCTGGGGGGCTTGGGGTCGAAGTGAGCTGCTAGCACCCGTGACATCCTCATTTAAGGTCCCGAGATTCCCCCTTATCTGATGGGCAGAAGCTTCTACAAATCCCTTCTCCTTCCTTCTGCTCAGGGTCACTCTTTATTTTCCCCTTAATTTCTTGGGACTTGGAGCGAGACCCAGCAAACACAACTGATTGTGTAATGTTTTGCTCAGAAAGCTTCTTAAACAGTCACATATTTCTATTGGATTTCCCTTGCCCTTCACTGCTGATTACTGGAGTATTTATATATAAATAGAAGCTGTCTTCCCCATAATCTGCTTGTTTCTCCTAATTAACTCAGGCTGCTCTCCTTGGGTTGCTCAGCCCTTGGGTTTTGGGGGTGCCATCACCCAGTGGCACTCAGTGAACCCAAATCTGTCAAGTTTCTGCTGAAATTGCTTTTTTAGCTGGTTTTGAAGAAGCAAAACCCTCCTTTCCAAACTTCATGTGCTCGGTATCTGCCCCATCCTCCCAACCCCCAGCTGAGGGAAGCGCTCAAATGTGATTTCTCCATCTTCCTCCCTCCTCACAAAACTTTCCCCCAATTCATGGAACGTCTCGATTTGATAATTATTTTAATCATTATTACTCATCTTTCCCCTTTCTTTCCCCCCCCCCCCCTCAAAACTTCGTCCTGGGCCTGTCAATCACTTTAATAGCTGTTTACAACCTATCATCAAGTCTTGCATAACATCCACATGACTTCACTCAGATGCCTCCGACACCCAAAAGCTGCCCCTGGGCTCTATTTCAGGAGTGATGGAGCCCACGGCACCAACTGGCTGCATCCCCCGCCGGCATGCCCGGGGTCCTGCATGGGGAAAATCAAAGCCAAAGACGTGCCCGAAGCAAAACTATTTTGTAGCTAACACAAGACAGCCCCACGCTGCTGCCCCGTTCAGATTTTGGGGGTGAAGGTTGGTTTGGTGGGCTCAGACCCCCTTCCCAGCACCGCAGGGATGTTGCACCGGTCTGGAGCGATGGGGAGCGAAAGGCACCGGGAGCAGTGGGACACACGCACAGCCAACGTGGCAAATTCTGTTTAAAATGTCATTTTCTAGCCAAGTTCTCCAGCCCGCGGCATCGCCCGTTGGCGGAGGGTTGGCGGAGGGACGGGGCAGAGGCGCAATCTGCGCTGGAATCTGTGCCAGCCCTTTTCCTTCGCCAGGCGACGGCTGCCTCGTGGGGCGGGGGGGACACGACGGCTCTTTTTTAAGCTCTCCCGTCCTCCCCCTCTCCCTCAGATTTCATAACCCTTCAAAGCACGAAAAGGCTCCTCCTGTTCCCGGCTAATGAGCCCCTGCGGCAGCAAAATCTCCCCACGCAGGTGTGGCGGGGCAGGGGGCACAGGAGGGGTCTCGCCATAACCCCAATTTGGCCGTTTCTCTCCCCAAAACGCCCCTTGGCACGAGGCTGCCCGGGATGGGACGTCTCTTTCTCCCCGTGCAGGCGCTGCATGCAAATATTTATTTACACAGCAGCATGGGGGTTAGTTATTAAGCTACAGCTGACAACTGTATTCAAATTAATTAATCTTAATAAGGCACTTGCAGTCACCCCGGCAACAGCACCCCGGAGCGTCCTCCTTTAAGGAAAATATTTACTGGCGTGAAAATCCCCTTGGATGCAAAGAGGGTGCTCTGAGGGGGCCTCTGGAGATGCTGGGGCTGGAGACACCAACTCCCTTCTTGGGAGATCTCCATCCCCGGAGATGGAGTCCAGAGGGAGGAAATTGGGCTAGAAGTGCCCATTTTTTGTGATATATGTATAGATACAGAGGTCACTAAAAGCAGGAGGGCAGCTGAGGGGCTCCTTGCTTGCCTAGGGGAAGATAAAGGATGGCAGAGCTTGTATGTCCTGCTTTGGATTGGGAAACACAATGGCTGCTTTATCAATTCCTGTAATTACAATACTAATTAAGGAAGCTGTGGGATTTCTGCTTCCTTGCACTGACCAAGGTAACAGGTTAAACTATGCAGAGAAAGACAGCAGATTTCCCAGCTCCATCTCTGCCTCAGAGAATAATTAAACCAAATTTCCCTTGGTTTTTTTTTTAATCCTGGATGCATCAGTTTACCAAATGTTCAATCCAGAGTTTGCAAACTCATCTCCCCAAAACTGGAAGGAAGCTCCTTATCCCCTCTGAAACCCAGACCTAAACTCACACACTAAATCATCATGGGGATTTTTGGGGGGTGTTTTACTGAACAGCTATATAGTGCTCCAAGCAGCTGGGGTGACCCCAGTGAAACCCACCAAGAACCCACCCCAAAAGAAAGAACTCACACTGGGAAGTACAGTAGGCTGTGATTTACTGGGACAACAACACTTCTGCAACAACAGAGAACACGACTGTGCCGAGGCACCAGACTGGTGAATCCGCAGCACCACTGAGCATTGCCACACTGGGGACCTCAGAGAGGTGACATCAAAGCAGACACTGGAGGGGTGCTCGAGGTTCTGGGGAACCCAGAGAGCTGACACTGAGAGCAGAGACCAGAGGGAAGCTCCTGGAGACACGAGAGAGGTGAAACCAGAGGGATAATCCTGGGGACCCTGGAGAGGCCACACGGAGAGCAGAGACCAGAGGGATGCTCTGGGGGAGCACGGTCCTGGGGACCTTGGAGAGGTGACACCAGAGAGAGATCAGAGGGGTGCCCATGGTCCCAAGCACTGCTTTCCCTCCTGTGTCACCCTGGACACACAGACACCAGACAGAAGCCTGCTGGGCCAGGCAAGGCTGCTACATGCCAAGGGAGGGAGCAAAAGGCAGCGGGTTCCACGGGCACTGCAGCCACTCTGGGGACAGTGGCACACAACTCCCCCTGTAGGCACTTCAATCCCGGACCCTGGCTCTGCCTGTGAAGCTCCAAAGGCACACATTGGCTGCAAGGGATCTCACAAACTCCTGCTGGGATTGCAGAGGGCCTGAGGGAGCACAGCACTGTGTGGATGTGATGGGGTTTGGTCCCAGCCTCCAACTGGCCCGGGTTGTTTGTGTGTGGCTGGGCTCCATTCTCCTGGCTGTGACAGCGGGGCTGCTCTCACATGCTCATTCCCAGCTCAGATTCCCTCTTATCCATGAGATGAGCATGTTGTCAGACCTCTGCCTTCTCTGAAAGCCATCTGAGATGGCAGGAGCCAGGCAGAAGCCTCAGGAAAGCAGGGATTCGGGGCTGAGGGGCTGCAGTAGGGGCTTGGCAGTGATTCAGAGCTGGAAGAGGCATCGAAGCAAGGACAGGGAAAGTGGAGTGGGCCACAAGATCTGCTCTGGAGACTGGGCTTGGACCAGAAGAAACCAGGATCAGAGGGAACTGCTGTAGGTGGAAATGCTGATCTAGCTGAAAATAAAAAGCATCTACTGCAGGCAGTGGTAGATTCCCTTCTAGGGCAAAATCCTGACTGCTGAGTGCAGGATTTTGCCCAGGCTGCTCTGTTTGCAGGGTTTGCTCTAATAAACACATACATCTCTGCAGCAGAGGAGCTGAGCTCCTTGGAGGCATTTCCTTAAGGACAAATCCCTGTTCCCCTGCCCTCACTGATCTGCCCAAGCCTCCCTCCTCCTCTTACACGCTGCCTGGGTTGTAGCACAGCAGGTTGAACTCCAGGTTCTCATCCCAGTGCCGGAGCAGCACAAAGAGCTGCTGGGCTGCAGCTTTCACCGTGGCCAGGCTGGATCCCTGGGGGAAGTCCTGCCCGCTCAGCCACAGGCTGGCTTTGGCAGCCACCAGCTCCCACTCGATGAAGTAGGAGGCTGAGCTGTGCTCCAGCCAGGCCAGGGCCACAGCCGTGGCCCAGAGCATCCCCTCGGGCTCCGTCTGCTGCTGCAGCTCCAGGTCACCGAGCAAAGCCTGGAGCTCGGAGCCCGCCGTGTCCCAGCCCCGGCCGCTGCCGGCGGGGGAGGAGAAGCTGCGGATGGTGATGGCCGGGGGGCACAGCTCCTTCTCGGCCCTCAGGGCTCGGGAGATGCTCTCGGCCGCGCTGCCCGACAGGTGCCGAGGGCGGCCGGCGTCCTCCGGCGCTGCTCCCCGAGCCGGGGCTCCACTGGAGGGGCCCTTCCCCTGCCCACTCAGGATTCTGTGCTCCGAGCCGGGGCTGCTCCTCCTGCTGCTGTAGGAGGCGGAGGGGCTGAGGGACAGGCGGTGGCAGGCGAAGGGTGATGTCCACTTCAGCTTCTCCATGGGGATGTTGACGGCGTTGCAGAAGGCTGAATTCAGAAGGAAGGCACCGCAGGCCAGCTGCAGGGACACCTGCAAGGGGTGGTGGGCACAAAGGGAAGCTCTGTACACCAACCACTTGTGGGTAGCTCAGGAAAAAGGCGTGTATGGGTGAAACAGCTCTCCATCTCTGAGCAGGTCACTGGACATGGTTGTCAGAGACAGCAGGAGGAAGATTTGGGGGATCTTCCTCTACTCCCCTGCAGTGACCACACAACCCCAACAAGACCCAGGGAGGAGCTGCTCACCAGGGGAAGGTAGTCCATGCTCTCACTGTCACCCTCAGAGCTGGCTTTGTTCCCTCTGCTTGGAGATTTACTCATGAAGCCTTTGGCAGCTCGAACCAGCAGCATGGTTTTATTGAGGGTCAGCCTGCGAAAGGATGAAAAGGTGTCAGTGACCTCTGTGCTCATCCTGACACCCACCCTCCCCTCCAAAATCACCCCTGCTCCCCAGACACTGGCACCACACTCAGTCCTAGCTCCAGCTGCTATCCTTGGGGTTCCTCCTCTCCCTCTGGCTTGTGTTCACATCAGACCCACACAGGTGAAAGGCACCTGCTGAGGTCAGAGGAAGGTCGAGCTGGCTCATACCTGGCAGCAAAGAGCCTCTCGATGGATTTTTGGGCTTGTGCAGAGGAAGCAGACAGGCTGTGGAGAGGCCCTGGGGAGAAACACAGTGATGGGGTTACAAGGTGCTACAGGGGAGCAAAAGGGAGCAGAGTCAAGGTCCTGGGACATGGGCTTGTTTGGCTGCTGAATCTCTGGCAAAATTCTTCCTCTCCCCTTGCCTCATTTTTCCTATACAGATAATAAAATTTTTACACCTCTTAAAAATTAACCTGTGGGAGATTTATACCAAAAGCCACATCAGGTTTCATCCTTTGCACCTCAGAATGAGTCAGCCCCTGTGCTCACAAGCATAGTTTTAGGTAATACATTTTTATAAAATTGCCCAAAACTCAGCAGAAGCCCAAACCACAGACTCGATGGAGCTGCACCAAGTGCCAGCAGCTCTTTCCCTACCTTCAGGAACACGGCAGTGCTCCCAGGCAGATGAGGACAGGGTGTTGGAGGGTGAGGGGCTGCTCTCCTCAGCATCTGCAACTGAGGAACCACATCAGCAACAGCACCCAGCCAAAACCAGCACCTTCCCTCCCAGGGCACGATGGGGTTAATGAGCCTCTTTGGGGCTCTGTTAATCCAGCTCCGGCTCTGACAGTGCCAGACAAGGTCTGATCCAGCTCGTCTTCATTAGTGAAGGATTTGGTGACAAGTGAGTGTCTCACATCCCCCCTGCCTTTAATTACACTCGTTTCATCCTCCGTGCTACCCGCGGTACGGCTGCCAATTAACTCCCGAGTGTTGTCAGCAGCACAACCTGCCATCTCAGGGCTTTGGGAGAATTTGAAGCTTCCATTCAAGGGGATCAGCCCCAGCCTGTCTGGTGAGCACTGCATGCAAAGGGGAAGGCAGAATTTAAAAAGACCAGAGAAGGTGTCCCAAACCACTGAGATCTCTAACACCAGGAAGGAGATAAAATCCCAGGGAACCTTACTCATGCTGTTAAATCCATAGTCTCCGTTCTGGCCACATGCTGACTGAGGACGCCCAGGGGAGCAGCCACGATGTCTTCTGCTTCCTGAACTCTTCTGTTTCCTCTGGTTGCCTTGCTTGGATGTTGCTCCTTAGCACGAGAGAAGAGAATGGCCAGGGTTAGAGAGGGGCTGGCACACAGATGATGGCAATAAAACCATGGAATGAGCTTGGTCAAGAACTGGGGCGACAGGACAAGGAGGGAATGACTTCAAACTGGAAGAGAGTAGGTTTAGATGGGCTATTGGAGAGAAATTATTTGATATGAGAGTGGTGAGCCCTCACACAGGTGGCCCAGAGAAGCTGGAGATGCTCCCTCGTGTCCAAGGCCAGGATGGACAGAGATTGGAGCAGCCTTGGATAGTGGAGGTGGTGGCAGGGGGTGGAATAGGATGAGCTTTAAGATCTCTTCCAACCCAAAACATTACGTGATTCTCTGGTCATCTCTGGGTATCCAGACCTCAGAGCAGACCTTTTCCCTGGCCATGGGAAGAGGTTTGTGCCACCAAGAGCTTGGCCACAGCCTTGGGTACGTGTCTGGTGCCAAATTGTGCTGTGGCTTCATAGCACATTGTGGCTTCATTGCCCTGAGAGACGTTTATCAGTGCCAGGACAAGGTTCCACCCCTGTGCCAGCCCACGTTACCTGTGTGGGTGTACTGGACCAGGGTGGGCAGGTAGGAGCTGGTGCTCAGGTCCACAGGCACGAAGGCTGTGTACTTGCTGATGATGTTACAGGCCTTGCTGGTGTGGACAGCGTTGAGCTGGAACCGTCGCCCAGACCCTGCCACGGGAGGGACAGCGGGGTCAGGGTCCACGGGCCCCAAGGGCTCCCCCACCCCTCACACCCAGCTCCCAGACCCATCTCCATGCTTGGGGATCCATGCCAGCAGGGGCTGTATCCCTTTACCTCTCTAAACTCTGCCTACTGCTACTCCTGCTCTCATTTGACAAGCCCAGATGCACTTCATGGAGGACAGGGCTGACACAGTCCAGGGTGGCCTAGGCAGTGATGTGTGGCTGCTGCTGGAGTTGGATGCCACTTCCCAGCTCCAAGTGACCAACTCCTTAAAAATAACCATGTTACCTCATGCATGAAGCAGAGGGATCACGGAATCATGGAACATACAAAGTCAGAAGGGACTCTCAAGGATCATCAACCTGCTCATCGTCCAACCCCTGGTCCTGAGGAGTGGGAAGGAACATGAGTTCAGGAATAATCATGTGCAGCAAAGCTGCAGAAGTAGAAGAGCACAAGGGAGCTGAAGAGGGCTGTTATTTAGGAGTTGTGTGAGACATTCTAATATTTCACCACCAGCAGCTTTTGTTTTCACTCCAGAGGCTGCTGAGAGTGCTGGAAATCCTTCCCGAGGTCAGGCAGGGTCTGCCTGCAGCCAGCTGTGCATTACCATGCTCGATTTCACACTCCCTCTCGGCGAGCTGCTCGAAGTCCTGGATGAGTGACTGGGCTGCCAGGTGGTGGAAGGTCTCACTCCACAGGTCTGTGTCACCATCCTCCTGGCTCTCCCGCTCCCGGAACAGAGGATGGATATCAAACGTGACTTCCCACTGCACAGGCTCATTGTTCCTCAGCCCCTTGACCACTGCCTTGCAGAGGGTCCTGGGGGAGCACGGGGAGCTGCAGGCAGTGCCGATATCCAGGTCCTGGGGCTCCCAGTCAGAGGAGGTCTCTGTCTCAAAGGTGAGGGATGGATGCTGAGCAGACTCTGCAGAGAGGGGAGAGGCAGATCATTAACCACCTCCCTGGGAGCTGAATTCCCCACTGGCACCACAAAACCATAATTAATCCTTCCCAATTTTCACATGGTGGCACAGGGCGCAATGCAATGCCACCAGACCCCGGCACAGACAGGTGAGGCTGGCCGTGCCTCCCCCTCTGCCACCTACCCAGATCCCCGGGGCTCCGGCTGTCTGACGAGGAGCACAGGCTCCTGATGGCATCGAGGGCTCCCAAGCCCCTTCCCGGGGCTTCCTGCAGCCCGTCGGGCAGTGCCGGGGCGGCGGTGTCGTGGCAGAAGGACACACAGCTGTGCTGGAGCAGGGCCGGGCGCCGGGCGCCTGTGCCACGGGTCCTGGGGGCAGAGCCATGTGGGATGGCCGGGAGGGGCTGCGAGCAGAGCAGATGTTAGGGCTGGATCTGGCTGCAGCCAAGGGCACAGACCTGCTCTGTCCCCTCTGATCCCAGCACGGACCTGCTCTGTCCCCTCTGATCCCATCTCCTCCCTGCCTGACCCCTGCAAGGGATGCAATCACACAGGTCCTCCCTCCGCCCATTCCTGGCTGGGATCTGTACCCAGACAAAGCCCTCCACCAGACCTTGGGGTGTCCCCAAGGGACTCTGGCCCCAGGGGCTCCTTCCCCAGACACACAGAAGGTGAAATATGAGTTTCATCCCTCCAGACATTTTAATGACTTCACTTGGGAACCAAAGAAAAGAAGAGAGACAGAAAGATCAAGGACCAGTTGCTTAGTAACGAAAGGAGAGAGGTGCAGAGGATGAGAGGAAAAAGATAAAAAGATAAAAATTCCTTTTTTTTTTTTTTATGAGACTGTCTCTCCACTTTCAGGAGACATGAATCCCCCACTCCAGCACCTCTGGTGCCACATTCCACAGGGATGTTCCCCTCTGCAAGGCCTGGGTTTCATCCCTGTCCCCAGGGCTGTGGGAAAATTCCTCTAAAACAGACAGACTCTATATTCCTAGGACATCACCAGCAAGGAAAAGAGGTGGTAGAATGTGATGGATGGAAGGATGCTTTCTCTGAGTGACAGACATATATGACCTCCACCACCACCACCTAAATTTTATTCTTCTATGACACCACCAGCAAAACTGGGAGCCGGGCAGCTTCAGGTGTGATCTACCAAGCTAATATTGACACATCCTGCCAGACCCTTTTTGTTCCAAACCTGCTCCTCCCAGCCAGAGGAAACCAGCTGGGAATGGAGCTGGGGGTTTAAGCTGCCCGTGGCTGGTGCTGACCTTTCCTTCCCAGCATGGCAAGCGTGGAGATGAGTTGCTGAGGGCTCGGCTTCACACCCCTGAAAATGTCAAGCCCTGGCAGCAGGACTGGGAGCTGGGAGAGCTGCTGGGAGCCCTGGCAGCAGGAGGGATAGCAAAACCAGGCTGCATTTAATTAAGAGCAGGCTGCATGCTGTTAACCATTTATTGCCCTCCAGAAGGGAGTCAGTTCCACCCCTGCCTGCAAACTGAGGACAGGAGGATGCTCTGGGGACATTCCCAATACAGGGAATGGTGCCAGTAGCCCTAAAACCTACTTGTTCTTGGTCACTGATGCTGTTCACCATCCTCACTGCTGCAGCCTGAGGGCAGAGGTCTCATCCCTCCCTCTGGAGCCCTGGCCCTGCTTTTTCCTTTGCCCCCTCATCTCTCATCCCACTCCTCACCCAGTGATCTCTAACCCACAACAGAGGGGAAATCAAAGTCCCCGACATCTCTGAGTTTCCATGGGAACGCAAGTGCTGCTGGTCCTCCCAGCCCTGCAGATGCTGATTGCAGAGCAGAGCATCCTGGCAATGCCAAGGATGAGAGAAAACCATCCCTATCCTTCCCAAAGATCAGCTAAAAAATCTGCCCAAATTCCACCTGCTGCAGGTAGGGGACAAAACCCTGTTCAGCAGATGTACCATCGCACAGGTTCACATCTCATCCCAATGCTGTCTAAGGCGATGGATCCAGCTGGGAATCTGCTTTGGCACTGAATTCCTTTTCCCTGCCAGGTACAGAAGCGCCACAGCCATGGGGAGGATTGAGTCCTAAATTGTAGGGAGGTAAGAAGGGCCAGAGGAGCAGCAAGGCAAAGCACAGGCTGCTGAGGGGAAGGGAAGCAGGGAAAAAGCAGGCTCCAAGGGGAGGGACTGCTATGGGATATAGGATGGCACTCTGCTCCCTGCTTGGCTTGTTTCCCCAGTGTTCCTGATGTGCTGCAGAGCTATATCTATTACCTATAGCTATATCAATATTTTAGGACAAGCATGAGTCAGGCCCTTTCCTTCAGACTCTTCTCCACCTGATATTTTCCTCCTTCTCCTTGCTGGCTTTCACCTGCAGGCAAAGCCTCTCAGGGGATCACCTACCTGGAAATCCACCTGCCAGGGCTCGGGGCTGACCTGCTGCAGGTCCTGCAGGTGGGTTTTCCGGAGGGGGTTTTTCACCAGGGCTGTGCCAGGATCGCTGGCTGTGGGCACCTTCCTGCGGGGCTCGTGGTCGGAGATTTGGGTGGTGCTGTATGCCCGTCTCCTGGACAGAGCCTTCACGTCCATTCCTGAACGGTGGGAGAGAGGATCAGCTCCACTCCGGAGTGGGATCAGCCAGCATCACCCCCGTGGCTCACACTGGGAGGCAGGGAGCCCTCACCAAGGTCCTGCCAAAGCTCAGGGGGTCACACTCAGCCCTGCAAAGTTTTAAGCAAAGCAACGAACCCACAAAAGGAAATAGAAACACAAAATTCCTGGGTATGTCAAGAGAGCAGGTTGGGAAGGTTTTGTCTGAGGAGTTTTCAGCCAAAAAAAGCCTGACTGCATTTCCCCAAACCTCCCTGGAGAAGACAAAGGGTTTACTAATGAAATTTAATTAGTGCAGACACGCTCCTGTCAGAGCAAGACTAAAATTTGCCTTGGAAAGACATGATTTCTCATTGCTTTTGACAAGTTTGAGGGGATGCACAGTACAGATCCTCTTGGAATAAAAGGGAAGAACATCCCATGAGTAACAGAGGTTTCCCCAGCTCCAGGGTGCAACCAGCTGCTTTATGCCACATGCTGCTGAAACAAACACCCAGCCAGGCCATGGTGGGGGGGAGTGACACCCTGGGGAGAGGGCTTTGGATCCGTTCTCCCCCTCTCCTGACTGGGAAGCTGCTTTGCAGGTACAGGGATGGTCTAGCAGGGATACCCATTTGCTCACTCCACTCCTCCTCACACTGCTTGGGAAGTTTGTAAATAATTATGTGGCTAAAGCTAAAGCTGCTTTGAAAATCTCCAGGGAACCCAGCTCACCAGGGCTTCCCTTGATTTCCTGACAGGTTTGGATACAACATCCAAAGCAGACTTGCTCAAGCCTCAGGAGATCTGTCATCTCCCCTGCAAACTCCTCCAGCTCTTTGCAGCTGAAGATATGTATAAATCAGGCAAAAAAATGGGGGAGCAGTGAGAGGAGCTTGATTAGAGAGACAGGGGCATCACCCCCCAGCATGTACAGAGGAAAAGCTGACCCGTGTCCATGTCCGACTCTCCCCCAGGATCTCTGCCCACGCCCAGGTGGTCGGGGGAGTGCTCGGCGGGGCAGGACCCCTCCGAGTCTCTGGAGTAGTTCCAGCTCTCCAGGCCTGCTCCCTCCTCCTGGGAGTGAAAGAAAACAGAGCTGCCCGACTCCTGGGAATGCATCATGCTGTACTGCCGCCTCTTGTCCTGGGGGGAAGCACAGAGAGGGAACAGGTCCCACCACCGTGTCTGTCCACCGGCTCCCAGCTGAGACAGGCTGCACCAACATCCTCAGCCACTACTGCCCCCAAAGTCCCGCCCATCACCTCCCTTAAGGACACAGCTGGGAAGCAGGAGACACCCCCTGACCACGCACAGAGCCAACAACACCCCCCTGTCCCGGGACAGCCCCGCAGACTCACAGATCTGGGGTTGGAGAGGTACGGGGAGGTGTCGCAGATGACACCGTAGCTGACCAGGCGGTCACCAGGGAACAGGCAGCTGCTGCTGACAGGGGACACCAAGACCTCAGTGCTCTCAGGAAAGACCCACTCCACGGACACATCGCTCAGGGCCGGCGCCATCGCCTTCTTCAGTGATCTGATCATCTGCAAAGGGCAGGGGGAAGAGGATCAACAGTGGGTATGGTGTCCAGCTGGACATGGTGTGAGCCATGGTGCACGTGCCACGAGCCACAGGGAAGGGGAACATTCCCTCAAACAATCTCATCAGCTGATTCCTGCCATCTCCTGACAGTCTGCTTCCTCTTAGTCTACTCTGGTGTCCATCCCAGCACCCCCACCTCCTTGGCACAACTATACTTGACAGAGCTGGGTTAATGGTTGATCTTTTCCAACCTAAATGACTCCATGATTCCATGATTTTTTACCATGAGTAGACAGTGATGAAGCGCAGGGCTGATCTCACACATGCTGCCAGCCCAGAGCAAGGTGGGATCTATTGGCCTGAGGGATCATTCTCTGATGTGAGGCAGCATCCCTTGCTCCCCTCTAGCACCCAGGAAATGCTGTCAGCCTTCAACAGTCTGAGCCCCAGCCCTTGTCCCGAGCCCAGCACTCACACACTGATATTTTTGGAACAGCTCATTGCTGCACAGTGAGCCAGAGATCAGCAAGCCACTGCCAGAGATCAGCAATGCTCTGTCAGCTACACACGTGGAGAAGACCAATATTCGTGAATACCTCATGGACAAATCTCCCAGGGAGCCATCTACATGAGCTTCTCTGCACGCCAAGGGAACCGAACACCAGATTTAGAGACAGAATAGCTCAAATATTCCCTATTGTTCCCTGCTTTTTTACAGGCTTGGGAAGACACACCAGGCTGTGTTTTATAAGGCCATTAATTGACACCTCAGACTGCTGAAGGCAGCGAGCTGAACAGCCTGCAAAGCTCTTATTAATAGCTCTTATTAAACAGCTCTCTCTTCACTGTCTGCTTTTAATTTACATCAGAAATGTTGATGCCATTCTGTCTTAGAGAGGTTTTTGCGTGCTCCAGGCTCCTGCAGAGGGTGGAGTTACCGAACTCTTCGAGAGATCAAGAAGGTAGGAGCTGGCTTTTTGGAGATATTTAAGAGCTAAAGACCCGATTTTCTCTGGGTTTAGTCAAGCAGCAGGTGACAGGCTGGTCTGTGCATTCACCAGGAGACAGAGCCATCCCTACGCCAGATCTCAAGCACACAGTTTTACTCTTCATGGGGAGAGAGGGAATGCAGAGGCTTTAAAGTCAGCTTAATAAGCAAAGCCATCACAGCGCATTCCTCTCGCTCCCACCCCGAGTCCTTCTCGCCCGGGCAACGCCAGGGCTGAGCCCGACTTCAAAACTAATTGGCTGCTTTGATGCCGGTCCCAGTGCCCTCGCCGAGGCAGAGCTGCCTTTGAAGGCAGAGCTGCAGCAGCGACACGGAGGCGAACGCGCCCTCCGCTCCCTCCGACGGCCGGACACGGAGATGCTGCTGCATCCCCTGTGCTCACCCACCTGCCGAGACGGGGGGGTGGGAAGGCAGGGCCAGGATGGGGAATGAACCCGCTGGGAGCTGCGGCCTCCCCTGTGGGAATCCAGAGCTTCCCTCTGGCTGCCCTGGCAGGTCTGGGACCCTGGCAGGGGTCAGGAACCCCCCTGGACAGAGCCCCCAGAGACACTGGCTGTGATCTCTGCCCATGGAAAAGAGTTTTCAATCTTACAGGATGAATTACCAGCTCTGAGTGTTTGATCTAAGTAATAATTAAGTGTGGCATGGGTGCAAAAGTAAAATTTTAGGTTTCTAGATTAGGGGTTCAGAGGGGACAAGATGGAGGAATTGGGTGTGTCTTGTCCTTTTTCTCCTTCTTCATGCCCTCCATGTTTCACTGTGGTGTTGGCATTTTTCTGTTGGTTTAGGCTGTTCAACGTAGATGATAGATATTGGCACATTATTGTAAATATAGTACACATAGTTTCTGGTATTTAATGTTTGTACCATCCCACTGAGGGCAGAGCCCCACACGCTGCCCTGCAGGACAGAGCTGCGGCAGGGCAGCAGAACATGTTAGAGATAAACAGAATAAACAACCTTGAAACAGCACAGACCAATTATGGCTTCTGCTTTGGCAGCGGGGCTGACAGACAAAGACTTTCTACAATCTCGGAATCACCGATACCCACAGATTCCGACACTCCCCCTCGCTGAGCAGAGCATCGTTACAGCCCCGCAGCGGGTGGGGCTGTACCTTGGGCTGCAGCCGCTCGCCCTCCGCCAGGAACTCGGAGACGCCCCTGGACACGGCAGCCAGACCCCGGACCAGCCTCCTGCAGGCGTTCGGCCCGATGCCAAAGCTGTAGCACCTGCAAAGGGACAGGGAGAATCGGGATCCAAAGGAAAAGCCATCCCCCAGCCCCGTGTGGCTCACACAGTCCCTCAGGCAGAAACTCCCTCTGGCTTTATCCCACTGCTATGCCCAGCAGAACAAACCAGCCTCTCTTCTAGGTATGTGGCAGGAAGGTTGAGAACCTCCCAGTGCCTAAAGGGGCTCCAAGAAAGCTGGAGAAGGACTTTGGACATGGTCATGGAGTGACAGGAAAAGGCGGAATGATTTTAAGCTGAAAAGGACAGGGTTAAACTGGATATTGGGAAGAATGTCTTCCCTGTGAGGGTGGTCCTAGCACAGGTTCCCCAGGAAAGCTGAGGCTGCCCCTGGATCCCTGGAAGTGTCCAAGGCCAGGCTGGACTGGTTTGGAGCACTCTGGGCTATGGAAGGGGTCCCTGCCCATGGCAGGGGGGTGGGGTGAGATGGGCTTTAAGGTCCCTTCCAATCCAAACCATTCTGGGATTCTATGAACTGCCAGCCCCCTCCTCTCAGCAGACCCCAAACCCCTTCCCCAAAGACCAGCCTTCAGCAGTGACACTCAGGAGTTCCCAGCAGGACCTCAAGCCTTCCCCTCCTCTGCAAACACAAACAAGCTGCTTTGCTCTCAGTTCAACTCCTTTTCCCTGCTGGCTGTGGTCAATAGCACTAAATATCCAGTAATTATCTCTGCTTGCAATAAAAAGAAACTTTTTCTCAGGGAAGGATGATCAAGGCAGGCGAGGCTGCCCCCCTGACTCCCAGGTCTGTGAATCAGGATTTGGTTTGGGCTGAAGGCTGGAGCCCAGGCAGGGAGGGCAGTGCTAGGTGGGGATGGATGTGCAGGGAAGCCAGGAGGATGGGAATGGGTGGGATGTGGCATTTGGACAGGGGAGTAGATTGCTGAGAAAGAAAGCACCTTCAGCAGCAAACTGCATCTGCACAAGGGGCTTTTCTCGTGGAGGGTTTTAATCCTCAGCTGCCTGCAAATCCTAGGCCAGCCTCACACCCCTCCTAAATAAGGCTCTGATCTTCTTTTAAGATGGGCCATGCCCAGGACTCTCCCTTCCAGGGTCACCAGAGACCACGCTCCAGCTCTGATTGCATTTAACCCTCCCCTCCAGCTCTGCAAGAGCAAGGGGTGGGATAGTGGGATGCCCTCTACACTGGGAAACAATCAGACCTCTGTGCAGTTACAAACCCACACAGCATCTTGCCTGATAACCCTGAAGTCTGAGAGATGGGAGAGGAATCAGGATTTCTTACATTTTTCTCATGTTTTGTGCCCCTTAAAGAGGCAGAAGAGAAACAAGAACAGCCTGTGAGCAGGGCTGGGGAGCCAGGCTGGGAGCTTGTGCACAAATTAGCTGCTTTCTACATTGCTCCCTTTCAGCATATTCAATTCTGTACAGCCCCATCCTGGAAGCAGCTGGGGCCAGCCCCAGATGTGCTTTAAAAAAAAAAATTCAAAAAAAAGCAAGGAAGATTGTTGGCGTGTCAATCTCTCCTAGCAGGAAGCATCAGCCAAGAGCTGTGAAGTTGTCAGCTCAATTATCCTGCTTTTGATTGTTTAAAAAGCATCTGAACTTCTGGGATTCATTCCAAACCCTTTGAGGTTCTCCCAGGCTCACAGCAGCAATCTCTCCTGCCTCTGTCTCTGAAGTGGGGACGTCTGTGAGATGGAGCTGTGCTCAAGGGGAGGCACATCCCAGCCTGTGCAGCTTTCTGGCCCTGCAGGGGTGGGTCTGTACCTGGTGGAGCGGGAGTGGTCCCGCAGCAGCTCCAGAACCTTCCCAGTGTTGCTGATGGCCCCGCCCGTCAGCAGGAAGAGCAGCCGGGGGTGGCCCCTGTGGAGGGGCTGGCGGGTGACCCACTTCAGCGGGGATAAGAGGTTGATACTGCCCATATCAGCTCGGATCCTCCTGATGCTCTGGCAGGCCATGAGCAGGCTCTCCTGCCCAAAGGAACAGTGGAGTTGTCAGCACCAGCACCCTCTGAGCACCAAGGAGAGCCACAGAAGAGCTGAGGGAGCAGAGGCTGTTCATCCAGGTGGAGGGAAGGTTTTGGAGAGACCTTAAAGCCCCTTCCAGTGCCTAAAGGGGCTCCAAGAGAGCTGGAGAAGGACTTTGGACAAGGGCCTGGAGTGACAGAACGAGGGGGAATAGCTTTAAGCTGAAAGGGGCACGGTTAGATTTGGTATTAATTATCTGTTATAAGGGTGGTAAGGCCCTGGCACAGGCTGCCCAGAGAAGTTGTGACTGCCCCTGGACCCTGGAAGTGTCCAAGGCCAGGTTGGATGGGGCTGGAAGCACCCAGGTTTAGTGGAAGGTGTCCCTGCCCATGGCATGCAAGATCCCTCCCTGCACAAACCAGTCTGTGATTCTGTGAACTGGGGGTTCACCCACCTCACAATAGGCCTGGCTGACAGGGAAGAGGGTCTTGAAGGTGGATCCAAACCCAATGACATTGAAGAGACACGCTGGCATCAGGCTCTTGAGAATGACCAGCAGGGCATCCTGAGGGGTGAAAAGCAAACAGACATCAGGACACTTGGACCCTCCCTGGCTGCCCCAGCTTCACCAGTAAAAGCTCTGCCCAGAGCCATCCCATCTTATTCCCACTTTCACCTAACAACAAACCAACTGCTTCTTTCCCATGCCTCCATATGACCCTGCTCTTTTCAAAGTCCCTTGATGATATCTGGGACCTGAGGCACTGGGGAAAATGGAGTCTTTGGAAAAAAGAGACAACAAAGAACTGAACAATTTTTTCTGTTTGTTTTTAAGGGATTCAATTTGTGCTGGCAACACACTGCTGCAGCACAGAGCTGGTGGGTGAGAAGCAGAGTGTGAAATTGAGAAGTGCGACACGCAATGCATCTCAATGCCTAAACTTGCAGAAAATAAACAAACAGCTTAAAGTTACACAAAAGGAAAAGCCTCCCCCCTCCCCAATTCTCTTGTATTCATAGCTGGCTTCAATTAAAATAACTGGGAGACAACAGATTTAAGCTATTTTCTTTACCAGAGGTGGTTATCTAACATGCCTATTCCTGGGCTTTACATAAGGCAAGAGCAACTTGAATTGTCACAGTGATATTGTGGACAAGTGCAGGACAGAGCTTGTGATCACAGAAACTGGGCAAGAGCTGCTTAAGGAGCTCTTGAACTTGTAGGAGCAATTATGTGGCAGGAGAGGAGGCCAATTTCAAGCAAAGTGTTTATTTAAAGCAAAATGTAAAGCAAAGTGCTCAGGAGCAGCTCAGTTCTATTTAAATGCTGATCAAGGCAGACTCCTGCCAGTCTGCCGAGGGCAGCAGAAACCCTCTAGCCAGCCCCTGGAGGTGCTGCCAAGGTCAAAGGAGCAAGAATAGCCTCCTTGAGTTGTCCTACCAGTAGCAAAGACCAAGTGACCACACAGGGACATAGCAAACACCCTGCCTGGGTCCAGCATGGATGTGGTGCCAGGGCAACCCAGCTCCTAAAGCCTGTAGTACTCAGCAAAAAAAAAAACAGAGCTGGAGCACTGAAAATCAGTGGAATAATGTACAAGAACAGGGCTGCCCTTTAACAGGCTCTGGAGTACTTGAATCCAAGCTGTTATCTCAAACCTACAGGGATATATTTATACCACTGCTCCCAGATGGCTCCCGGGATGCTGGCTCTTCCAGATCTCAGTGCTGACATCCCATCTTGGAACTCATTACAAGGGAAAAAATACAAATTTCCAAATATTTCTCTTAAAGCATTTCCCAAAATGGGCAAGCGATGCCTGCTTGCTATTTCAGCAAGCAGAAAGATTTATTGCTTCTTATGGTAAATATTGATCTTGATCCTGTTGCACTCCATAGATATATGGCAACTCAATAAGGAGGGATGTTTGCTTCTAGAAAAGTCAATTCCCAGTTATTAGTGCAGTTTTGCCAGCAAGCACCATCACAGCCTGGCTCTTCTCCCTGGCTGGATGAGGGTAGGAAAGGATATGGCTGCAGGAAATCGAAATCCCTGAATTTTCCACTCCAGCTGCTTTGGACAGGTGCCCTCCTGCTCTGCATGGGCCCTTCCACCCCATCCCTGAGTGCATCCTGAGGCTGCACAGCTCCAAGACCTGTCATGCCATGCATCCAGCCAGCTAAGGATGATGCAGAAGATTCCACCAACCAAAACCCACCCAAAACCCTCTCAGAACAGCTCCTGCTGTGAGGTCCCTGGTGTCTGTGAGTGACAAACAAGGACAGGACATTCAAAACAGGGACAGTGGGTTTCTCCCTTCAAGTATCTCCTCCAAAATCTCCCTCAAAATATTTTTTCTTGAAGGGGAACAGCCTGCTTCCTGTTTCTACAGCCCTCCTGAGATGGGGTTTCCATACCAGGACCAAGCAGAGAAGGGTTCTGATCCTGCAGGTCTCCATCCCCAGGGGACAGTCCAGCCTCCACAGAGGCTGCAGTCTGTGGTGCCCAAACCCAGCCATGCTGGCAGTTGGAAAGCAAAAATCCACCCTGGGACAATATTCCCAGACTCCTAAAGATGCTGGGGGAAGGGGGCACAACCCCAGAGATATCCTGTTCCCCCTGGGAACAGCCTCTCTATTCCATGGGATGTGCTGCAGCCATCTGCAGACTCCCCGGCATCCCAGTCCTTGCTGCTGAAGGTGTCTGTCCTTCCTCAGCAGTTCCCATGGAAACTGGAGACAGATGGGAAAAGAGATGTGCTAGAAAACGGACAAGTTCAGGAGTGGGTCTGTGGGAACCTCATGAGGTTCAACACACCAAGTGGAGGGTCCTGCACCAAGTCGGGCTCTGGGTAAGAGCCACATCTGACAGGGGGAACCTCAGACCTACAAAATATCCTGACAATGCTGGGTTTTTTTTATCCAGAGGTCTCAACACAACTCCCATAACTATCCACCAGGCTGCTGGTGTTCATTTGTGTTTGTAAAAGGGATGTCTCATATTTAAAACATTTCTGTGGGTTCACAGAGATGCCCATCAGCAAAACCTCTCCTAATGAATGGTCAGCACCTCTCCTTGGAGCTCCCTGGAGGTTTCCTCCTAGGCAGCCATCACTCAAAGCCCTCCTGAAGACAGGAAGAACTGGAAAAGGGATGCACAAAACATGCCAGCAAGAGAGGGAAAGAAAATAATTTTACATTTTATGTGCTGATAGGAAGAAGCAGAAGAGAACAGGGGAGAGTCACCTTTGTTGCAGGTACCAAACGAGCGCCACAGTTGAGATGACTAAAATGCAGCCTATAATTACTCCCCATCCCCTGATAATGAACATTTATGCTTTCAGCACCCCCACTGCTCTCTCTCATTCATCCCTGTTGACAGGCAGGTGTTTCCCCTCCTGCAGGTACCTTGGCATGGCTGATGTTCACACCACTCATGCTCCTACTGCGGTCTACCAGGAAGATGAACTCTCCCTGGGCTTTCCGGAGGCCTGGCTGCACAGCCCTCAAGTCAGGGCAGAAGTTGAGCATGATGACAGGGTGGTGGGGGATGTCCTTGTTCAGCCGCTTCCTGATGATTTCCATCTGAAAGAAAGCAGGAGAGAGCTGGAGAGGTTGATTTTGAGAGGTTGATTTTGAGAGGTTGATTTTGAGAGGTTGATTTTGAGAGGTTGATTTTGAGAGGTTGATTTTGAGAGGTTGATTTTGAGAGGTTGATTTCTCCACCCCATTTCAATTCAAGGGGAATCAGAACGTGGCTCAAAATGCAAGTGCAGGGCCTTTTGTGGGCCAAAATCTGCTTGTTCAGAGGTGACAACACCAGGGTGGGCCAATATCCAGGTGTCCAGTTCTGTCCATACCCACAATATTCACCACCCCTGCAAGTGTCCAAGACCAGGCTGGACAGGACTTGAAGCAAGCTGGGATAGCAAAAGGTGTCCCTGCCCACAGGATGGGTGGGACAAGATAAGCTTTAAAGGCCTCTCCAACAAATCATTCTGGGATTGTATGGAGCAACTGCACACTCAGATAAAAGCCTGAAGAAGAAATCAAAAGACCTCACCCTACCCAGCACCTTTCAAACCTGATTCTCTAAACATTTCATTAGATCCTTCCCGAAGACTTGGTTCATTAGCACAGCTTAGCATCCCACCAAGGCACACCAGAGGCTTTCTCCGTGGTCACTCACTAATGAAGCGTGAGATGCAGCCCTTGATCTGCTGCATTCAGCACTCCAATTCATTCCTGCCACCTCTGGTTTGCTGCTTTTTCTGCCCAGTTCTTTTATCACTTTTCTTTGTAGGGATTGAAAAGCTTTGGAAAGCTGAACCATCTGCACCAGCCACGGCTCGATAGGAACCCGCATGATCTCTGCACTGCACACAGCTCCAATGGCTCTCTGCATTTTCTCACCTTCTATTTCAAGTATTCATTACAAATGGGATAAAATAAAACTGGTAAAAACTTCTTGTGGGGGTTTATAATGTGCTGTTATGTGTGTATCAAGCAGTAACAGGTTCATGGCCTCAGCTGCTTTGGAGGGAGCTCCAGGACCCCACATCAGCCCAGCCACGGCCTTTCATCCTTGGGTCTGAGTGTGGAAACAACTCCTCAACAGCAGCTCAAACCTCAGGGGCTTTGTTTGCCTCTTTTCTCCTCTTTGTGGCTGCTTCTCTCGTTGGTTTCACAGGGAGTAAACCAGACCCCACATAACAGGGCTTGTTTTCTCCAGCCATGAGTCACATTCCTCAGTCTATGAGCTGACGACCAACCTTTATTTTCTAAAACTCGCTAACTCCCTGTGGCTCAACACACACACACAAGCTCTACTTTCAGCTCCTCTGCCTGAGTGCTGCTTCTCTGACCCAGTGGACAGACAGGTCTCACTCACAGGAATAAGCCAAACTCCCACTCATCCTCTTGCCTTTCCCTTCTATGCTATGGGGTATAAATTAATCAGCTACTGAGAAATCAAAGGGCTTTTTCCATTTCCATTTCCCTCCAGCCATATGACATTATTTCCTTTAACAACTTTTCCAGTTTATCACATTCCAGACTAGAGTGTTCCTTGCTGCCTCTGTACAAATACTGAATTGTGGCTCTGGACCTATCCACAGAACTCCCTGGAATGCTCTTGGGTATCCATGGCATAAATTTCCTGTGTGATCAGAATGAGCCCATCTTTTTGGATTTCTCACTGACTGGAGGGAATTTTACAGGCAAATCTTCAGTAAACAGCTTCAGAGGACCTGCTACAGGTCAGAAAAGAAAATATCTCCTCACCTCCCTTCCACTCCCCTTCACCAGTTATACAATTACAGTAAACTAATCAGATTTTGTTGAGAAAAGTTGATTCCACTGTGCATCCATCCCCACCAGCCTGCAGCTGACAGAATCCAAGCCTTTTGCATAACAAACGGAGGGAGGAGAATTATTTATAATTTACTGCTGAAATTTATGGGCTAATTTAATTTAAGCCAAGAAGTGGCAAGTGTCCTGCTCTGAGCAGCAGCAATTCCAGCCCATCATCTACCCCAGATATTACAGGCATTTTCTCTGCTCCCTGCAGTAGTTTCCCAGTCCTCTTGGGGCACAGGTGGCTTTCCTGCAGGGAAATGTCTCCAGAATGATCCCCCCCTTAGATAATTTGACATGCTAAATGTGCAGAAATAATTAGGGAGCCATCCGAGGCGTAGCGTGGGAGTTTCATCTCGTTCCACCTGTCACACGCTGAACACAATTAGAGGAGACGCCTGCGGAGTCCCAGCCCTGCCAGAGAGAGCGGAGGGCAAAGGAAGGGAGGAGAGGAGGGTTGACAAGTCTCTGGTGAAAGGAGAAACCTTAGCAGCATGGGGAGGCACCCCTGCAGCAGGTCTGGGACCTCTGCCAAGAGGGACCCAGGATCAGACACGTGGAGAAGGAGTTTAGGGGGAAATGAGCATCCCTTGGCACACAGGAGAGCCCTGGCTGTGTAAAACAGGAGCTGACACTGTCAGTGCCAGCTGTGGCCACACAAGCACAACTGTCCCTTAGGGGACAACGCCCACCCTGGAAATCCAGAGGGCTCTGAGCTGTCTGCTCCTCTCCACTGATCCCATACACACCAAAGAGTTGGGCTGTCACTCATTCCTTCAGAACTGCTGAAAGACGAGGCAGAAATCCCAGCGCAGATATTTTTCTCTTTGCTGCTCAGCAGAACAAAGAGAAGTCTCTCATATCTTGTCTTCAGTTCAGCTCATTATTCCAGCAAAATCACTTCTTTCTCTCTGACAGCTACCCCGAAACAGTAAACATTTACCGAGCAATTAAAAGAATATTTTATTCTATGTCACTGCAATAATTATAATACCCTTAATGCTATCACAATGCACCTCTCTAATTATGCTATGCTAGACTATCACTAATTATACACACAATAACCATCTCAGAGCTCCTTCCCCTCTCAGTTTATCAGCAGCACTGCTGAATTTTCCCCTCTTCCTCCACACAAGCCCCTCTCTGAGGGAGGATGCTGCAGGTCTCATTGATACAGTGTAATATCTGATGCTCAAAACATGGAATCATCTTCTAGCTCAGCTCCAGTCCTTGGAAAACCTCAGCTAACACCTGCAGCTTGTGTTTCTCACCTTTTTCTTGGCACTGGGGTCTTTCTTAGTGCCTTTAATAAAATCGTTCTTCCCCTTCAGGTGTCGTTCGTACTCTGCAGGGGTCATGTCACCCTCTTCCATTAAGACGTGGGGCATGTGGGGCTCTGTAAAGCAGAGAATTGTGTGAAGAACAGCTGTGGTTACACTTTGGGTCTGGCAGAGATGCAGGCACCCTCGGTTGGGAAAACAGCAGTATCTGTGAGCTTGGAAAGCTGAGGAAACCCTGAGAGAGGCCAGGATTACCTCCTGGGAAGCCTAACCTTGACAATATTTACAAAACCAGCATTAATCCAGCTACAGCTGAGGATCCCAGAAGGGGCAAGGCAGCAGAGGGGAAGCAGAGTCCACCTACCACTTGGATGGATCAGGATCTCCACGGGCCTGTCGAAGGTGTGTTTGTTGGCCAGCGTGATCACAATGCTCTTGGCAGAGCGAGCCGAGGGGTCAGCGTCTGCTCGGATCTCGTGTGTGGGGCTCTCGACTCCTGCCCGGGGAAACCGAGGCTCCAGTAGGGATTGAGGGTGGGGGGACACCAGGGAGAAGGGAAGACAAGGTAGCAGAGGACAGGCACCCATGTCAGCATCAACCCCGTACTGGTAAATCCACCCCAGCACAGTTAAGTTGCTAACACAGATTTATATTGAGGAGGAGGAGTGTGGACATAGCCTTGGGGATGTGATAAATCAGCCTTGTGCAGCAGGACAGCCCCAGTGCTCCTACCTGCCAGCAAACACGGCCCTCGGATCTCCAGCTGGAAGCTGAATTCATACTCAAAGGGGTTGGTGGCCTCACTGTCCAGCAGTTCAGTCAGGCAGAACCTGCTCCCCTGCTCTGGGCTCCCCAGTCCACAGGGGTGCTTGTCCCTGCTGGTGACAGAAATCCAAATAAACCCTGTTAACATGTTCTATCCCCCCAGGAACTGCAGTTGTGCCAGAGATAAAGCCTGCAGCCACTCTCCAACCTCCTGCAGCTCCTGCTCATTCAGCCCTGCATTCCCCAGGATCAATCCCAGACAGAGCCCTCCCCATGGTTTTCCATACGTTTGGAGCTGGTGGCTGGAGAAGCTGCTGGCATTCTCCAGGCTGGGCTGGGGGACCCTGGGAGCACACACAGCTGGCAGAAGGACCCTCACCACCCCGCTGGGTAGTGTCTGCAGCTCAGAGGAGGTGCTGATGAAGATGGAGACACTTTCCAGGGGAGGAATCATGCCCAGGTTGGCCACAAAAACAATCCTCTCCAGGTCCTCATCCATCATAATCCTTCCTGCACAGAGATTGGACCATGCCAGGTATTGCAGCTATGGAAAATGCTCCTTTCCAGGACTCCCACAACCCCCAGCCCTGGATCAAACACCCAAAGCCACCACCACTGCACACATCAGCTTTCTCTAAAAAGCCCCAGCTCCTGCATCACTCCTTTGCCTGCCCAGAAGCAGCAGTGCTTTCCAAGATGGGTAAGACTGACATTTTTGGCGTAAGTACCACAACCCCTCAGCCTCCCAAAAGGAGCCCCTTTGATGCCACAGCATACACCAGCAGCCACCCCTGTCACCTCCCCACTACCCTTCCCCTCCTTTTCTTCCTAAAACACCCTCAACCCCCTCACCACTTCCATCACCAGCTCTTCCAGGGGGGAGGCTGCAGCTGTTGAAGTAGGTGTCATCCATCTTGGCTTTGTCTTTGATCTGCACTGTCACAGTGCGCCGGGACACGGCTGCCTCGAAGCCCACGACAGTCGTGCCCTCATCCAAGGGGTACACAAAGAGACCTGCCAGCCAGGAAGGGTGTTAGCAACACCCACCTCTTCCCTGCACCCACCAGACAGGTCCCTCTTGGCACTTCCCAAGTGGGAAAAAAATCCCACTTGCGGGATTTTTCACACCTAAAAAGTTGTAGACTTGGACACAATACATTTGGTTATGCTTCCCACCAGCATCTAAAGGTTGAAGGCATGCACAGAAACCCAGCACTGCCATATTAAAGTCTCCATTCCAAGCTTCACTCCTTAAAACTTGCCTTCCAAAGCCTGGGGATCTGGGTTGTGGTAGGTGAGCAGAGCTGTCATCCCAAAGGCATAGCCACTGACGCAGGATGTCACCTCGGATGCAATGAGGGGCAGCCGGGACAGGGTCACCCGGTTAATCAGCCCTGGCATCTTCCTGGGGGTCTCTGGGTGATGGTGGGGAGCTGGAGAGAGAAAGGTGAGAATGGATGTGGAGCCCCGAGTGACCAAAATGTCTGCATGGCTCTGCCACCTCATTCTGAAGCCCTGAGGACAGAAAGGTGAGTGACCTGGCACAGGGTGAGACCTGAGTTTGATGGCTGCAGTGATGGGCATGGAGCAAGACCCTGATGGGATGACACAAAGCAAACCCTTGCCCCAAATCCCCATTGGCACAAGGGAGGAGGTTCAGATGAAACCTCCCTGGCTGGGGACAGACAGCCCTGGAGGTCCATAGTCCCCACCTCCCACACTGCTGAGTCTGAGCAGAACAGGTTAACATATTTTTCTGTCCCTCTTTCTCCTCATTATCCTCCAAACCAACAACTTTCTCCAGGATAAGACTATGATCATGAGATTTTTCTTTTCTCCTGGGGAAGGAAGAGTAGGCAGGCAGAGCCATACATGCTCCTGCCCTCCCATGCCCTTGCCCATCCTCATCCTTGCTGATTACAGGGAGGTGTCATTGCTCTGCTGTCCTGCATCTCCAGATCCTTCCTGCACAGGCTGACTCATCCCTCCCTGTGCTCAGCCGACACATTCAGATGCAAAGTGATTCCTTATGCCAATTACATTCCAACTCTTTTCCCTAAGCAGGTTTTCCTCCATTTCAGCTCCTCTCCCCCAGGCCTCAGGGTCTTAAAGGAGACTTTTCAGGTGGATTTTAGGGCCCCATCCTGATCCCTCAGGGAACCGGGAGAAGTTGCTAGGCAGCAGTTCTCCCTGGCTGGCTCTGCAATGCTTTATGCAGTGATTTATGAGGCCCAGCACTGAAATACATCAGTTTCTCATTCCCGCGTTATTAAAACCCACCTTTATATGCAAACGCCACAGAAGACATCAAGGCCACGAGCTAGATGAGTGCTCAGGCAGGAAAATGGCATTCATAAAGGAAAAAGGGAGAGCCAGGGAGAGCAAGAAGGGTTGTCCAGCATGGGGGAGAGCAGCCAGGGAAACTGAGCACAGGAAACAGTAGTGAAGATGATGATGGAGGGCAGTAATCCCAAGGCATGCCCCTGAATCCCGGCCAAAAACCTTAAATTCCCGATTTAATTTAATCCACCCCTCCTTCCAGCATAAATGCTGCTCATGCCAGGAGCTGCCCAGGGAGGTTGGGGATGCATCCATGAGGATGCAGCCCCCACAGTCAGGAGATGAATGGGAGTCCACCTGAGCCAGGGGATGCTCCAAACCGTGCCAACGGGGCCTGGGAAGTCAGGAGCTGGTAAGAGTTCGCCTGCCACAGGGAGAGATAATGAAGCTCCTCTCACTTCAATATGTGCCAGAGGCCATCAAGGTATTGGGAAGTGATTAAATGCCAGGTGGGGGAGGAAGGAGAGAGAATGATTTTACCTTAGGGAAGAAATAAAAACAGGAAGAAGCTCTCTATCAGCTTGGCACAACAGGAATTCATTACAGGACTGCCAGAGGGGTGAATTTGGGCTCCAGGAGTGTGACTTCAGCGTGGAACTGGGGACTTAGTACAGACCCACGGGTGAGATCCAAGCCCCTCACATCTCCTGCACCCTTGGAAGATTAGGGGCATAGCTCCCATGGGAATCACTCTGCCAGCAGGGATTTCTGCATCACCTGGGCCAGGACAAGCACTAAAGGATCCTTGCTGAGATGCAGAGCCCTGTGCCATGTCCTGTTTAATCCAGACAGGAAAGTTGCACCTCTCCTGCAGCTCCGAGGTGGCTCAGAGGAGCCTGGCACCAGCCCACACTGCTGTGCCAGCCAAAAAATCAGCCCCACAAGGACAGGGAGGGCTCAGAGGGCTCTTCCCGGCAAAAACCTTTGAAAGGGGATGCTGGCAGCAGAGCCATGGGGATGCTCCACACAGCTTGTGTCACCAACGCCATCAAGTGACTGCAGCATGGAAAGGGAGAGCAGCAGAAAGGCTGGAGCGAGGCAGAGCAGTGGGAAGGCTGGAATCTCTCCCCTGTGCAGGAACTCAGCACTGGCCCCTTGCCGGCTCCTGCTTTTGCTGTTCTGGGATGTGCACTCAGTCTCCATTCAGGCCACAGGGCCTGCACTCTCAGGATGGGACCTGGCAGGACCCTGCATCCCAAAAAAATTACCAATAACTGCACAGGGTACCCTTAGACACACCCAAAATTCAGCGTGTCCCCTCACTGCCACCAAATGTGTCCTTCCTCCCACACACAGCAGGTGTGGGGCCATCCCACAGACCTGGCCAGGTACCTCTTGACCTCACACTGCACCTGGCATCCCAGGAAAAAGGGAAAACACTGAAATACCTTCAGCCCTCAAAATACACCTGTAATCCCATCAACTAGGGAGCACCTCAGAGCTGGGGACAGACATTGTCCCTTGGCCAGCTGCGCTCTGGAGCTGGCACACCAGGCTGCTACTGGATCGATCTTTTTTCCCCCCCTTCCTTTGTAAACATCCTTTCCATGACAACCCACTGCTCTTCCTGGTCACAGAGGGGAGGGAGACATGGAAATGTGATCATCCCACCCCAGGCAATACCCTCAGCCAAACCCTTTGCCTGACTGATGGGGAAGGCGCTGATGCTGCTGTGACATCCCCGTGACGTGCAGGGGCTCCAGGCCCTGCACAGGGCTGCAGGTGTCTGTCCCAGCACTCCCGAGAGGTTGGGGCTGGATTTTATGGGATGGGAAAAGGTGTTTATGTGCCTGAAAAATGGGGGTGGTGCCTGAAGCACTGCTTGGAGCTTCCTGGGTGTCCGTCTGTGTCTATAAGTGCTGACGTGCCCTCAAAAAATCTGTCTGAGCACATGAAGTAAAGACGGGGGCACAGCAATGCTCCTCTGAGGTGTATTTTCATGCATTGAAAAGGAAAACAGAGCAAAACCGTGAGCACACAGCCTGGCTTCTGGCGGGGCCTGACTCCCAGGAGTGGGTTGGGGTCCCAGCTGTACCACACCACAGGATCTGTGGCATCCGCAGCTGACAACAGGATAAGAGAGTCAAAGCAGGAGCCGGGATAAAACCCGACACAGCTCCACTCAGCCCTGCTGCCTGAAGGGCAGAAATCAGGGGCAGCTCAGCTGCTCCTGCCCCCCAGGACAGGAAGACTGCCAGTGAAGCCCAGCCCTGGTGTCACACCTTTCGTCATTTTTGAGCAGCTTAATCACTGCCCCGCCCTGCTGTAACCCCTGACCGGCCACAAACGGGTTCCCTTGGAGATCTTGCCTCCAGGTCCGACCTAGACCTGGGGCACATCCCCACTGCTCAGAGGACTCCTGTTTTTTTGCAGCTGGGCAAAATATTCCTTCCACGTCGTCTGTCTCAATCAACACTGACATCCAGTGGCTCGCCGGGATGACGACAGCCGGAGTGTCCTGTGGAGATGTACAGGTGGACAGAGCTGGCCAAGGATGCCTGTTGCACCACAGCTCCACATTAGCATTCCTGGGCCATCTCCACGGGGAAACAAACTCGTCCCTCTTTGCAAATTCAAGACAGGAGAAACCTTGCACTTCCCAAACTTTCAGGGCTCTCAAGTAGAGTCACCCTTGGGGATTTTCCCTGGTTTTCAGGGGCAGCAAGGCTCAGGGAGCTGCTGAGGGACCCCCTGACTTTACCCTGACCCACATTACTGCGGGTCATGACTAAGACATCAGGAGGCCTCCAGCTGCTTTCTTCCAAAGCACAAGGGTCAAACCTGGCCAGGCAACTGGGATCAACCCCCAGAATATCTCTAGGAATAGGAGGAAATGGGTTTGAACGAGCACCCATAGCACTGTCCTGTCTGGAAGAGCCATGGATCCACCATGGCAGACCTATGAGATACTCTCAGCAAAAGCTACAGGAACTGCTCTCCCATCTCCAGCTTCCCCTTGCCTCAAACTGCAAGCAGAATATCCCACTGAATGGAAAACAGCCACTGCAGACCCCCAAAGGGTGACCACAGGGGCCCCCCACTGCCACAGCAGTGACAAGGATTGCTGGCCCCAAGGACACCCTGAGGCCTCAGATATGGAAACTGGGGAAAGGCTGGGAAGCAACTTCTGCCAGAGCCCACTGAAAGCAACCAGGTCCCCCTTTCTGAGGTGACATAGTGCCAGGCTGGGACATGACTGACAGCCCTGGCAGAGACAGATTTTGGGGACTGTCAGCCTTAACCCTGGCAAGTGTCTTGGACCACCAGCCTGACCCCAGAGTTGGGTCTCACAGACCTCGAAGGTCTCACGGATTCATGACCCAAGCACCTCCCCAGAGCTGTTAATCATACATTTGTGACACAGGGGTGAGTTAACCCCAACCTCGCCAGGCTCACAGTTGGGGGGAAGATCCCTGGGCTGAGCCAGAGGTGGGGGTTTTATCTGTTGGCCCAGATACCCCTCAGCTGGGCTAAATGCACCAGGCAGTCTGCTTCCTGCTGGGGGTGCATCCAACTCCAAGGAGACACACAGGGCCCCCAGGAGCAGCACAGCCCTTCTCCATCCACCCCTGTCCTGCCCTGCCCTGCCCCAGCCAGTGTGGTGGATTCCAGCCAGGTCTCAGTGTTTTGACCCTTACCAGGGGGTATCAGCCCCCCTCACCCTGCCAAGGTCACTCCTCCTTCCCCAAACTGTGTGTCCACAGATGGGCAATCCCACTTGATTGCCCAGGTCAGCAAGAGTCCATCAGCCCCGCATCCATCCCTGCACAGAGATGGACGCAGTCACTACTAATGTCTGTACAATTTTTGGGGAGGGATGGGATGTTCTGGGACTCACCATCCAGCTGGGAAAAAGCAAGGCTGGGAAGCAGCAGCTTGCAAAGTGTGGGCTTGTGCCTGCACAAATATTATGACAGGGATTTCTTCAGTGAGCGGCTTTGTGCTGGGATTGTGCACAGCCTTGGGAAGTGACACACACACACACCCCTCACACCCACCCCTGCGGAGCTAAAAAGGTGCAGGAGCAACTGGAGAGTAGCCACTGCTTTTCTTACCTTTCCTGGGAGAGAGGAGGAGGAGAAGGAAGAAGGGGATGGGGGGGTTGGAGCAACTTCACCCACTCTTCCAGCCCCTCTGCGGCTGGGCTGGGGAGGACAGGAGGGGCAGGAGGAATCCCGAAGGCGACAGGCACGGCTGCGGAGCGCTGTCTCTGGAAGACAGGGAGAGAGGGAGATGAGGAGAGAGGGAAAGGGAGGGAGAGAGGGAGAGGAGCAAGCGCCGGAGCTTGGGGTGGGGGAGCGCTGCACCACCAGCCACCTCAGCAACCGGTGGCTTCACCCCCGGCCCCTGCCCAGCGGGAAACCGGGGAGTCCGGGGGTCCCGGGGGGCGAGGAAGGCTCTTACCGAACCGGCTGCAGCAACATGTGCCCGGGCGGGGAGGCTCTGCCCGGAGCCGGGAGGGTGTCTGGCTCCCCTGGGATGGGGGGCTTCTGCATCCCCAGGGTGGGTCTCTCGCCCCCCACCGCTGACTCAAAGTGTCCGGAGCTGTCTGGGTGATCATCATCACCATCACCCAGTGGAGCCATTTGTTTTGCCAGGGAGGTAACCATGACAATCCCCTCGAACACCCCGGCGCTTCCCCCTCCCCTCGCTCTCCTCCTGAGCCCGGGGGCTGCAGGGGAGGGAACGGGCGAGGGGCGAAGCCCATCCGGGCGGATGAGATGCCCCCGAGCTGGGCAGGCTGGTGGAAAAAAAAGGCTGCAAACTCCCCTTACCCATCCCCACGATTTGTCTCCCCGGGATTTTCTGCAGCAGTTGCCGGCAAGGGAAGAACCCACCACATTCACCTTTGTCATCCCCTTTCTCTTTCAAAGGAAGGAAAGCACCATAAAGCCCCCCAAAATCAGGATGCATCACCGCTCACTGGCCTCCTCTGCAGCCCTAAGCTGGATCTCTCTTCCACCCTTGCTGTTGCCCCCATTCCCATCTCAGCTCATGCCCCCTCTCCTCCCCAGGAACACCCAAAGCCCCTCAACCACAGCCCCCACCCATGGGGGTCTGGAAGGACCCTCCCCACAGGAGTAATGCTGTCACTGGGGGATGTCCCTGGTAGGATACAGTCCCTGCCCTGAGCAACTTAAACCCAGGAAAAACAACTTGTAGAAAGGGGAAACTGAGGCAGCTGGAGGGCGACACAGACTTGGACATTGTCCCAGAGCAGAGCTGGACATGAGCCTGGGTCAGAGCATACCAAGGGTAAAGCTCCTCTTTCTCCCCTGGCCTCCGAGGGCACATCCACGCCTCAGGATCGGGATGGCCAGACGTGTGGCACCCCTAATGACCCATCCTCTTCCTCAAGAACAATGTGTTTTAGAGGAAATGGCAAGAAATTCCACAAACAAATGCCTGTTCAAGATTATTTTCCTAAGCTCCCAGTCTGACTTCAGCCCTGACCCTCCAGAATTTATGGTCCTTGCCAGACAAATAAGTCAGCCATGGAAAAACCCAGGTCCCACGTTGCCAGTGCCTGTAAATGTTTGTTTACCACAGCTTGTGGCTTCTGGGAAGAAAATAACATATGCCAGGAGAAATCCTGGGATTCAAACCAAAAAATGGGGTAGCAGCAGGGTATTTGTTTAGAAGATAAAGCAGCATCTGACATGGTGGATGAGGCAAGTGTGAGGCTTCAGGAAGACACACATGGAGTAGTTTTAGGGGCAATTAATATTTAGTGCTGATGCTGACGCTGCATCACCACTGTTATCAATGGGGTGATCAAAGTGCTGCCCAGAACAGCCCACAAGGGGTGTCCAGCTGGTGTTTGTTCCTCCTCATCTTCTCCAGGTTGGCTTTACCTAGGACACCCCACCATTGATGAGGGCCAGCCCCTCCCAGGGAGCAGCAGTGGGGAATGGGATGGGTATAAATGAGAGAGGGGATGTGTATAAATGGGTATAAATGAGGCAAAACTGGGACGGGGACAAGCTAAAAGTAGCATTTGAGGTCACCTAAGTGCCATCTTGAAGCTTGTGTCTTTACCCACCTGGGGCCAGGCAACAGCAGCATCTCTAACCACCACAGAGGGATATTTCCAGTCCTGGATCATGCCTGGGTGGATTCTGGGACTGGCCAAGCACAGGACAGGCTTTCCAGACTTATTATCCAGCTCACTCAAGTGTACAAGTGTGGTGCTCTTGTGCAGGGAGATTCAGATGGGCTCAAAACTGAAGAAAAAAAAAAAAACCAGAAAAAAAAAACAAATACTAAACCAAATCTCGTGCTGGATGGACAGCAATGAGCACTTTCCATGATCTCCATGTGTGCTCTGTATGTAAATACCATTTTCCTTAGCCTGGAATGCTTGAAGAAACAAATAATCACCCTGTTGGGAGACTGTGATGATTAATTACAGGGCTGGGCAGGGACTGCCTCCTCCTCCTCTTCTTCCTCCTCCTCCTTTTCTTCTTCCTCCTTGCAGCAGGTTTGTGTGTGGGCAAGGAATACTCTGACCTGTTTGGGGTGTAAGGCCCAGAGGTAATTTCAATGAAATTCCACCATCCGACCTCCACCATTGTGAGATCTCTCATTGCAGCACAGCCAAAGTCTGCTGGTAAGGAGAATTAAGCATGTATTTAAACGAATGTGAATAGTTATCTAATGTTTAAATTAATAAATATGCAATTATATGACAGCAGAGTCTCCAGCAAAATCAACCCTGCATGGAACCCACAGGAAACCCATACCTCCAGGAGCCCATCCTTGCTCCACAGACTGAGGAGAAAACTCCTTCCTCATGGACAGAACAGAGAAACACCCACCACAGTCACACCTCACTGAGAGGCTGCACAGCCCTGAAAATCCCAAGGAATGATTGCAGCCAAGGTCAAGCAGCAGAAAGGAGGTGTTGGAAGGATCTGCCCCCAGCCAATGTTGCCCGATCACAGTTATCTTCTTCTCAGCACCACTGTTTTCCCCTCTCTAAAATGGGACTAAGCCAAATTAAATGTGTTTATGGAAGGTGTGTCTGCAAGAAAACATTTAGCTGGAATCATGCGCCTGTCAACCTCTGGGATTTCCCACATTCATCTTTATTTTTACCCTAATTAACTAATTAATGTCTCAGACTTGCCTTTGGCTGCCTGTTCTCTTCCCATTGAAAATTTCTTGCATTCAGCTCCAGTGTTCAGCATCCTCCTGTTGCCATGGAAAAAAATGCCATGTCACCTCCACAAATAAAGCCTCCAGACCCCAAAGTTCATGTGTGGAGCTGGGGAGGGATCCCCACAGATTGAGGGACATGGAGCTACCACCTCCATGCAGGAAACTGAATTAGATGGAAAAGCATCAGATGATAATATTTGATAATAACAAGGTTTAGTTTTAAGGAAAAAACCAACTATGGTTGGTGTGAAGTGCAACAGTGAGGCGTCCAGCCCTCCCTGAGATAAGATTTCTCAGCACAGAAAGAAATAACAACTGTACCAACCTCTATCTCATCTCCACCGATGAGAAAATGTTGTGGAAGTTGGAAGTTTTAGGCTGTGAGAACAAATGAAATGTCTTCATTAAAGGGGAGGGGGAATACTGAGTCAGGGAAATAATCCTTGGTTTGGGAACCTGTGGCTGATGCCTGCAGGCTTGGCCATTTTACTGATTCTGCTGCATGAAATAAAAACACAAATTCAGACTGCCCTTGAGAGCGGCACTGTCAAACAAGGCTCAGGGAAGGGAAGAGCAGCCCAGCGAGGAAATCCCACAGGCTCTTCCCACACTTCTTTCATTTCTACTTTCCCTTTTACTCCTCTTTATTCCAGGATCTTTAAAGAACAGGTTTGATACCAGGTCTAAGCTGGCTCCTGCCCTACAGCAGGAGACAGGACAGAAATTACTCTTGCAGCTCCTGTCACTTCTAGACCTCCATGACTCATTTTTCTACCTTGTTTTCACCTCCACCCCTGCTCCAGAGACGGAGCTGCGGTTCCCTTGCAAATGTCACAGTGTCTGCGTGATTGTCCCCCAGCCCTGGCTCCCAAAGGGATCCATTCCGTGGGAAACAGGAGCTGCAGCCTCACACCAGATGGCACAGCAGGGCCTGACCCCAGCCCCAAACTAGACAGGGCACAGCCCCAGCCCCACCCCACATGGAGGGCCTGACCCCCAGGGATGGTCCGGGACAGAGCCCCACATCATGTGAGACACAGGCTGACCCCAGATCATACCGGGGTCCTGATCTCAGCCCCACAGCGTTCAGGGCACCAGGCCCCTGACCACAGTGTCCCTCAACATAGAGGGGACCTGACCGCCCAGCCCCACAGCACACGGGGCTCACAGCCCCACAGCACACAGGGCTCACAGCCCCACACAGCTCACAGCCCCACATAGCTCACAGCCCCACAGAGCTCACAGCCCCACAGCACACGGGGCTCACAGCCCCACACAGCTCACAGCCCCACATTGCACAGGTCTCACAGCCCCACACTGCACAGGGCTCACAGCCCCACACAGCTCACAGCCCCACATTGCACAGGTCTCCACACTGCACAGATCTCACAGCCCCACATTGCACAGAGCTCACAGCCCCACACTGCTCACAGCCCCACAGAGCTCACAGCCCCACATTGATCACAGCCCCACATTGCACGGGGCTCACAGCCCCACACTGCACAGGGCTCACAGCCCCACATTGCACAGATCTCACAGCCCCTCAGGGTCACACTCTCACCCACAGGCCACAGGACCCGGAGCACAAAGATCAGCTCTTTTCCCTGGGAAAGAAAACTCACCAGTCCAGGTTCCTGATGTCAGTTTCTGGGGCTCCCCTGGGACTCTAAGGGCAGCACAAGTATGAGGTGGGAGCAGCTCCTGTCTGGGACTTATCCTTCGATGTTCGGATTTTTTGCACTCAGCTGCCCGCTCAGCAGGGCTCACAGCCCCACACTGCACAGATCTCACAGCCCCACAGCACACGGGGCTTACAGCCCCACAGAGCTCTCAGCCCCACATTGCACAGGGCTCACAGCCCCACAGGCTCACAGCCCCACATTGCACAGGGCTTACAGCCCCACAGAGCTCTCAGCCCCACATTGCACAGGGCTCACAGCCCCACAGAGCTCACAGCCCCACAGGGTCACACTCTCTCCCCATACAGATCTCACAGCCCCACAGGCTCACACTATCTCCCCACTCAGATCTCACAGCCCCACAGGGTCACACTCTCAGCCCACACAGGGCTCACAGCCCCACAGCACACGGGGCTCACAGCCCCACAGAGCTCACAGCCCCACATTGCACAGGGCTCACAGCCCCACAGAGCTCACAGCCCCACATTGCACAGAGCTCACAGCCCCACATTGCACAGGGCTCACAGCCGCACAGGGCTCACAGCCCCACAGGCTCACAGCCCCACAGGCTCACACTCTCTCCCCACTCACAGCCCGCTGCCCGCCCTCACCCCACGCCCTCTCCCCGCCGCCCGGAACGCGCAGTGCCCGGAACGCCCGTGCGCGGCTGGCGGGGCCGGGCGGGGCCGGGCGCGCAGGCGCCGCTCCCGCCCGGCGCCATCGCGGCTGCTGCGGCCACCCCGGGCCGGCCATGGCCACCGACTCCTGGGCCCTGGCCGTGGACGAGCAGGAGGCGGCGGCCGAGTCGGTGAGTGCGCGCCGGGGCTCACGGGGGTCGGGATGGCCCGGCCTGGCCCGGCCCGGCCCGGCCCGGCGGTGCGGGGTCCCCGGGCCGCGCGGCCCCGCCGCCTCCTCACAGCAAACAGCGATGGCAGAAACCCTCCTTTTTCGCCCCATTTTCTGCCATGGGGGCAGGCAGGGCCCAGGGTATCCGATTGTCTTCCTTTAGAAGCAAAACCCCCAGTTTTAATTTCGTTATTTGTTTATTTGCTTGCCAATATTTTTAAAAATTTATTCGCTTTCATCCATTTTTTTGCGTATTCAAAGGGCAAAGACGTCCTTGCGGTCCCCCTCACCCTCCATCCATACACTGCACCGCTTCAGGCACTCACCCAGCCTTAGCTTTGCCTTCCAGCATCCAAAAAATCCCTCTTTTTCTCATATTTTTAAAATGAAAAGACGTAACCTTGTACCTCAGAGAAAATGTTTTCTATTTTTTTCTGTGCTTGAGCACAGAACACTCACTGAGGACGTGGGGAAGACCCTCGGAGCAGCTGTCCCTGCGCATCTCAGGTGGTGAAATAAACTCATCCTGGGGCAGCTTGTGCCAGCCAGGACAGTGCATGGTTCCTGTTTCCATCCTGGAATGCTGATTTTCTCCCATTTTCCATCAGCAGAGCTATTAGGGAGTGGAAGCTACAGACGGAAAACAACCCCTTCCCTATGTTGTCATTATAGCTTAAAAAAACTTGTGTTTCTGTTAAAACTTCTGCTTAGAAATAGTAGTATTAAAACTCTTGAAATCAAGTTCCTCTTGTATCTTCGTATCTTCCAGTTGAGCAAGGCAACACTTGATAAATCCAAAGCTTGGGTTTTCCTGGCTGGAATTAGAATATAGGGAGCTATATTTGAATTTCTCTGATTTTCTGTTTTTCCTCATTTCTAGTTGAGCACTTTACACCTGAAGGATGAAAAAACCAAACCAGATGCCAATGGTGAGTTCCAGCTGCTCAGATGGGCTTTGAAAGGGGGGGAATGTTTCTCTGTGGGGGTTCAGAGCACTGCTGCCAAAGTAAATTCCTGATAAATCATGAGATGCCAGAAGAGCTGAGATTAGGCAGCAGCACAGACTAAATATTTTGGTGTCTCAGAGAGCTGTGTGAGCAAAATCCGATGGTGTGGTTGCTAAACTGCACTTGGAGCTGATGCTTGGGTTTTTTCTGCACAGCAGTGCAGCAGGGCAGTTCTCCTCAGGGGAATGAGCTGGTTTGTAGCTTTCCCAGGATATCCCAAAGCTCTGGGGGCGTGGGCTGCTCCTGAGGCTGAGCTCACCTGTGCCCCCCGTAACTGTTCCAATTCAGGTGCCGTTGTCAAGGCAGATGACAATGTGGAGAAGACGGAGGATGAGGAGAAGGGTAAGTGCCTTCCTGAAAAAATCTTTGGCAAGGCAATTAATTTCATTTACTTATAATTATATTGATTGAATATATACTTAAAGTAAGTCTGCCTTATGTCTCAGGACCGCTGATCTTGTATCCGGCCCCAAGGACTTAATTGTAAGACATGTCCTTCCTCCATAACACTTTTAAAGGCATTGTGTCCTGTAATAACTTGGGAGACTCCTGGATTAGAGTGGAGAGAAATAAGGGGATAGCAGTATCCTCAAGGCAGGACTGGATACAGGAGCAGTTGGATAACCTGGAGCTGGGATTGCTGTAGCAACCAACAAGTTGTGTTTATGCAGTGGCTGCTCGGAGGTGGGTAAATGCTCACATTCTTTCAGAAGGTGGTTTTAGGAAACAGATTTAGTAGCAAAACCCCAAAGTGCTGCAGTTTAACCTCATTTGGATCTCCCTTATCCTCAGCCCTTGTGTTTCAGCTCTGAAATCCTTAAAAGTACCATTTATCAAACCTTCCTTAAAAGTAAAACCCTGGGAGGTGTCTTCCCACATGTCAGAGTGAGGGTTGAGGAGGCCTTACCCTGTCCCAAGTAGATGCCAAACTAATCTTCATAAGCAGAGATCTGGATCTGTTAAAGTCCCCCTCAGAATAGTGCTCATTTGATTTGTCTCCCTGGGTATTAAATGGGGCAATCTCTGGGATCTCTCAATGTCTCATCCAAGATGTTTGGGCTCTTCAAGCCATTACACTCTAATGAACAATTTCAGTATTTGGAGGGATTTTGTCCCTTTTAAGTGGCTCAGGAGTTCAGTGGGAGCAAGACCTGGAACAGGCTGTGACTGATGGATTTATGTTTTCCACCTCCTTTCCCAGAGGACAGAGCTGCCCAGTCCTTGCTGAACAAGCTGATCCGCAGTAACCTGGTTGACACCACAAATCAAGTGGAGGTGCTGCAGAGGGACCCCACATCGCCCCTCTACTCTGTCAAGTCTTTTGAGGAGCTGCGCCTGTAAGTACCTGCTGGGATGAGCCAGAGGCTTCTCTGCATGGAGCTGTTAAATCCTGGGATCAGATATATTCAATAGCCTCCCTTATAACTGGCTTTTTCAGTTTGTCATGGGAAGCCTTATTTTTAGACTCGGGGGAGAGAGCAGTTTTGTTATATCTGCCAGAGCAGATGTGAGTTTGGAGCCCATCAGGTAGCTGGAACTTCTCCTCATGTCCTAAAAGATTCTCTGGTGGCATAGGAGATACCCCTTAAAAGCACATGGGTTTGTGTTTCAGGTTACTGCCAACATGTCATTAATAAGTGAGTGTATCATTTTTATTATTTAAATGCAAGGAGAGTTGGTTTATCTGGGTGCCTGGTGGGGGTTTTCATCTGAAACAACAGCAGTGAAAAACACAGAGGGAACAGCTTATCTTTTCTAGCAATACTGGATTTATGTACTGGAGAGACCAGTATTTTCTGACTTCCTTCCCACTGAAAACTTCTACCTGTGCAGCTTTCAAGGGATGATAACTGTGTTTAAGGCAAGGTTGATGGATATATGTATTAATATGCTGAAGAGTGCGTCCTGTTGGGATTGTTGTGCTTGCATTGATCTCAGGTTTGTTGCTCTACAAGCTCCGCAGGAAAATGGGAGCTAAAGAGCCTTCTCCCCATGAAATGCCAGGATGTTTTGCTTTGTTAGTGTTTGTAGTTGAATGTCTACAAAAAGAAGCTGCAGTCCTGCAGTGCCTGTTAGACTAATTCATTCCTGTGTTTCAAAAGGCAAACAATCCCAGGGAGTTAATGACAGGGACAGCCAGCCTAATTGAGTCTTCATTTTGTTATGACTCGGGGTATCCTTGGCAACTGGTGCAGAGTTGGGCTTTGTCTGTCCTTGCTTGGAGCAGCACAAGGTTACGTTTTCAAAGAGCTTTTGTTCCAGCCATCGTTGGAAAGTAATACAGGATTTTGGCAAAAGCATGTTGTGCTGAATGGGAAGTTACTGCAGTGGGAAATGTGGGCAGGAGACCTGTAACCTGCTTTGAAAGGAGAGCCCTTCTGAGAGCACTCACAGCATCCAGGCAGCACTTGGGGGTCATCAGCTGAGAAATTCCAGCACCATCACCCAGATTTAGGTTGTTCTGAGGTCTCCTTGTCTACACAAGTGTCTGCTGAGAGTAGAAAGCTCCCTTGAGAGAAAGCAGCAGATCAGAGTTTGCTGGCCACAGTGTCACCATGCAGTTC